ACTTGGATGAACATTTGTACCAGAGTGACGCTTAGACTGTGCTTAGCTGGGTAATTTTTGAATCTTTAATCCATAATTACAAAAAAATTTATGGAAAATAAAATGACGAGCAATAAAAATTAGGAAAAAAACTCTACTGCAAATAAAAATACAAAGAGAAAAAAGGGACTCTACTAACGAGCAATTGAGAATATTAGAAAAAAGGACTCTACTGACGAGCAAATGAAAATATTAGAAAAAGGGACTATACTGACAATCAGAAGTGCGTTTAGACTGTTTATGCACTGGAGAACTTTTCCAATTTCATGAAAACTATTGAAAAATGTGAAAATGCCGCCAAGCTAAGCACAGTAAAAGTGAAAATGTCGCACAGAATTATTTGCTAATGCGTTTAGACTGTGACTATACAGGAGCACTTTTTCAATTTTGTGTCTTTTTCAATTAGGCAACTATTATTTTTGAAATTGAATTCGAAATGAAATGACGATTGTTAATGTTCTGGAGATAAATTAATTGATTCATGATTTACATTTGATTTGCTCAGATATAACAAAAAATAGCAAAAATAATGAAAGTTGCAGTATTTGTAATAATATATTTGAGAACGTTTGAAATTTCTCGAATATTTCATTACGGTACGGGAAGTTCCAGCAACTTGCCTTAAGGCACGATGCCATACACTACTAGTTTGGTATAAAATTATATTTTTTATTATAATCTTATTCAAAGTTGATCTGTTATATAAAAGCAACTTGCCAGTAGAATTTAACTATACTACTTTGTTTATAGATTTTTAAATAAATTAAATATGTTTAGCAAAAAAATAATTAAAAAATAGTTTAATGAATCGAATAAACCTTGCTAAGGACTTCTACATATTTTTTACAGAAATAGTTTATTTTTATTTTTCGTATAAACTTAGTTGATGTTTCAGTTTCTATTTACTAATTAATAACCAAATCATAATTTACAAAAACACCACCATAAAATAATCAAATATTTATTAATCCCCGAGACAAAAACATGAATAAAATCATTTACAAACAAACCTTTTATTTTTTATCAACAATGAAACCTTTATCATCACAACCACTTATTTCCTCGGTCATAATTCCGTCTGCATCTTTGTAAGATTTTTCTCCAAGCAAACCGCAATTGTGCCATCACTGCTGTCCGATTTCAATCGATCTTTGGCCAGAGTTATGTCTCTGCTGAAATACAAGTCGCCATCCTGCGGAGTTTTGCGGAATCTCGAACTGCTCCGGAGGTAGAAACGTTCGCTAGATGGCGACTCTGATTTTCCATTAGGGAAGAAACTCTCACGGTTGTGCAGATGCTGGTGCACATTATGACGTGGTGTATGGTTGAAATGAGGGTTGAAAATTGCTTCACCACCTGGGGAAAAAAACACAAAGATGGATTATATATATATATATATATATATATATATATATATATCTTATATATATATATAAAATGGAGCTCTCGGTCAAATGATCCGCTAAAACTCGAAAACGGCTAAACCGATTTGGCCAGTCTTAGTCTTGAAAAATTCGTGTTAATCAACAGGTTGTCGGAAAGGTGAGATATTATTTCAAAATCGCGTAGAAATTTTTACATTTTTAATTTGAACATTTTTGTAGAAGCGTAATTTGAAATAAAAACAATGAACGGTGGCTAATACGTCAAATGTCAAATGTTTTGATCATTTCGTTTAATAGGATGTTTTACGTGAATTTTATTTAATCATGATTAAATTGTAGTAAGTAGTTTGTTTGTAGCTATATTTATAAACAAAAAACGTGGCTTAAAATATATATTAAAAATATAAAGCGTTGTAATACAGTTATGAAATTATAGTATGTTATTTCTTAATATTCGTACTAAATTATAAAAATATAAATCAATTATTTCTAACAGAAGAAACTAAAAAATTGCAATACACACTTGCATACTCTATTTTTATTAGTTGCGAAACGACGGTTGGATATGATATGAGAAGTACTTTTGAAAAATGTTTTTAAAAATATACAATATTATACTAGAGCTATAAAATTTTAGTATGTTGTTACCTAATATGAGTACTCAATTATAAATATATAAAATTACATATGTTTCTAACAAAAAGCTATAAATGTGCAATTTTGTAAACAAATACGTAAATAAGTCCACTGTTTGATGGAAATATTTAAAAACATAAAACGTTATACCAGAGTTACAAAATTTTAGTATGTTATTTCTTAATATGTGTACTAAATTAGAAAAATATAAAATCACACATGTTTCTTACAAAAACAGCTATAAATTTGCAATTCAGTCAAATCATGTAATAGAGCCGCAAGTGTTACTACAAACTCAACAATATCAACTTTTTTGAAATGTTAATATGAAAATGCACTTTTTGGCGTTGTAGCACTCTTTTTCTTGCAGAACATATTTTTCTCAAACACGGTGCTCTGAAAGATCTCATTTGTATAATTATATACTCATTGGTATTTATAAAACATTTTCTAGGTTATATTATTTTTTATTTATGTTATTTAAATTCAGAACCTAAACTTGGTATCGATCAAAGAGACATTTTGTCGAATAACCTTTTCCCAGTTATATTTTCCCAGAATTTATCGAAGAATGGATAGTAATATATGAAGGTCCGGAGTTAAAAAGGTCCACCACCGATGTGTCAAAAATCAGTAAAGCTATAAGCATTGTTTAACAACATTATTTGAAAGTAGAGGGAAAAAGATGTATAACCAGCTATAACCTTGATTCTTATGATTTTGATATCGGGATCCCGAGATAAATGGTAATTTTTTAAAATCCATAATAAAAATATTTTCTTCCGTTGGTAGTTTTTTAGCATTAGTTAAAAATGTAATTATTTTGTAAAATACCTTTAAAATTAAATTAAGACATTAGACCTTTTTGCCAACTGGCCGTTTCAAGTTACCCCGCCTACAAGGTAAAAAGGTCCAGATAATAAATTTTTGAAAGACATCAAAAACTGCACATTTCTACAATGATGAAGTAGCTGGCAGTTTTACTGAACGTAGTCAGATAATTGTTCGTTTGAAATGTGTTATTGTTTGTGATATAATGTTATGGTTTTCACAATATAGTTTATATTTGCTCAAAGTCAAATTGGACCTGTGCCTCGCCCTGCTCTACATATATACTTATATTAATTTACTTTAATTCATCGAATGTTACTTGAAACTTTTCAAAAAGCAGGTCAAAGAAGAAATACTTAATTCATTTTCTATCTCTCCTCGCAGAAATTTGAAATTTGTATAAGCTCAGTAGTATTATTTACAATTATACACAAAATCCAGAATCCAAAAAAGATCTGAAAAACTTGAAACGTAATCAATAAGTCGAAAGACCAAAAAAGACTTGGATTAGATTATACCATGTTTTTGATAGAAAGCGTATAAAAACTTCCAGTTTGATTGTATTAACAAAATATACACAAACTAATGGGGTTTATTGTTTTTATAATACCTAATTGTATATATCATTCAAACAGCATATCGTTCTTATACACTTAAAGTATTAATATATTTGATTCTCTAGAAATTGTTTAGAATATACCTTACTTAGCAAAACAACGTTTGCCGGGTCAGCTAGTATATATATATATATAATATATATATATATATATACTAGCTAAATATATATATATATATATATGTATATATATTATATACATATATATATATATATATATATATATATATATATATATATATATTGAATTCTTTAATTGCTTACTTTGGGAGTACGAGTGAGCCCTGGCAAGTCCTCCAGGACTATCAGTATTACCAGGATCTGCACTTGTCAATCTGCACACCAGCAAGGGCCCACAAACAGCCCTTTTGAAATAAGCTCGAAATCTGCAACAAAAATTACATTAAATTCCCTCATTGTAACGACAACCTTCAACCATTCTTTGTGGTTACTAGGGTTTATCGGTTTTCAAAAACCGGTTTTAAAAACCGTTTTTTTGGCTAAAATTATGGAATTCGAAAACCGGTTTTTTAGTGAAAAAAGTCGGTTTTCACTGTATAAATGGAAAATGACAAATATAGCCAAATATAAAAGATAGATGCAAGCGTTTTGATTCTTGAAATCATATCGGTTCAATATCATTTGATATCTTATCAGCCTGCAATGGTTCCCAGAAAGGTTTTGTATATATTAATTTAGATTTTTACAACCAGTGTATATATTAATTTAAATCAGTGTGACTTCTTCTTGAAGAAGTAACTTCCTCTACTCAAACTTAAAAAAAAAGAGTTTTAAGCCCTAGAAGCCACAAATTAAAGAACAAAAAACATATAATTATTATATTAGGCTTTAAAAACAATTAAGCATAATTTGATCGCAAATATGAGAGTATTTTATATTTCAGGAAATTTTGTGAGTAAACAAAGAACACGTAAATCATATTTTATTAAACAAAAAACAATTAAAATGTTTAAAATTAATTAATTAAAATTGCTCGGAACAGAAATACAAGTTTAGCTTAATTGTTTTTAAAACTAAAATTGATATTAACAAGTATGTATCAACATGTATCTAATATTTCTTCATTTTTTTCATTTAATGATTTTTTTTTAATTTAAAAATGTATTATTTTTATTTATTCGAAAACTTTCCTTTCAATATCATAAAAATATTTTCATTCTTATATGTGAAAATGATGCATGAATAACGAATAATTATTTTCAAAGTTTTTTAATCAAGATAAACTATTATTGTTTAGTTCTACTAATTAAAATTAAAATAATTTGTTTACTATTTATAAAATTGAACAATAAATAAATTCAGTCAAATACTGCTCTAAATAACACTAAATTTGCGGATAAATTACAGAATATTCGAGCAAAAATTTACTTTCTATAAAATTCGAAACCCGGTTAAAACCGTTTTTTTTTTAGTAAAATTAAAATTCGAAAACCGGTTTTCTGAAATGTCGGTTTTGGTATAAACCCTAGTGGTTACCTGTTGTTCATCCAGTAATATATTATCGGATTAACCATTGCATTACCCATGGCTAACCAGTAGAAGCTCAAATACATTTGCTGGGTGTAGGGCCAGTACATCAGCGATTTATCCACATGCATGTAGACAAAATAGAGCTGATAAGGCAGCCAGCAGACTGCAAAAATGCCCACGACTGCTGCGAACATCCTGACAACCTGAAAACAAAAACAATTGTCGTAAAATAGAAGCAGATTTTGTATATTTATTCAAAAAACATTTGATCCCGATTGATCGGAAGATGTGCTGATTAGTTTTTGGCAAAGGCAGGTCCAGCCGTTACGGAGATACGGAGCAAAGAGTGCAGAAAATACGAATCGAGTTTTTGAAAGAACAGAGTATCGGATTTCAATGATCTAATAAACATTCGATTTGTAATGCTTGGGAGAAGAGGTGATTAGTTTTTGGCAAAGACAGGTCCCGTCATTTCGAAGATACAGAGCTAAAAGTGCAAAAAATCGCAGTTTTGAGTGAACTAAGCGTCCGATTTCAATGATCTAAAAACTTTCTGCGTAGTATGACAAAACAATTACTCTGAGGATAAAAAATTACTACATCTTATTTTATTTTCCATAAAATATTTTTGAAATTTTGGATTAAAAATTCAAAAAATTACCCAGGCTAAGCACAGTCTAAGCGCCACTCTGGTACAAATGTTTACCCAAGTGCGTTTAGACTGTTTAAGTACTGGAGCACTTTTCCAATTTTGTGAAAAAACTATTGAAAAATGTGAAAATGCCGCATTGCTAAGCACAGTATAAGTGAAAATGTCACACAGAATTATTGCAAATGCGTTTAGACTGTGACTATGCAGGAGCACTTTTTCAATTTTGAGTAAATTAGGCAATTATTTTTTTTTTTTGAAATTGAATTCGAATGAAATGACGATGTTAATGTTCTGGAGATAAATTGATTTATGATTTACATTTGATTTTGATTTGCTCAGATATAACAGGATAGCAAAAATAATGAAAGTTACATTATTTGTAATAATATATTTGTAAACGTTCAAAATTTCTCGAATATTTCATTACGGTACGGGAAGTTCCGGCAATTTGCCTTAAGGCACGATGCCATACACCACTAGTTTACATTAATTTCTACAATATTGCACATACATCCCAGTACTTTATAATCACATACATCCTAAAAAATTTCCTTAACAAACTTCAGAAAGATTTATCAAAATCCGCATAATCGTTTAGAAGGAGTATACAGTGAGTGTTTGTAATTTAATTGGAACTTCATGTAATAGCAATATAGCTCAAATTGAATCTACGTTTTAGTTGGAAAACGTTTGTATGTCAAAAAGAGCTGTTTTTAGGGTTTTCCCGACGATTATTTGATTTTTTATCGCCTCAAGAACCATCCTTGGACTTCAATGAACATTTTAGAAAAATAATTGGCCAAATCGGTCCAGTCGTTGTTGAGTTTTGCGCTTACCAACACATTTTGCGATTCATTTTCATATACACGTATAAGACCCACGAAACTAATTTTTTACTATCACAAGCTGTTTTTGCTTTGATTTTGTGGATATCTCGGTGACGCCTTAACCGATTTTTATGATTCAAGGCTCATTCGATTTATCATAATTTCTACTTTTTCTGACCTTTCTTTTTCTGCAAATGGCATCAGCCTGTCTTTGTGTGTGTTCCCCAATTGACCTGCTGCCCCACAATTCTCTGCCCATTGCCCAGTAGCACCTGGACATCCCTGCTATGGGCATCAGATAAGTCACTATGAACAGGACAACCTGATAACTAGAGGTAAAAAAATTAGTAAATATTTGAGTAAAATCTAAACTACTTTTGTCTAGTTTGAATAAAACTAAATCTTATATTCTTGTGCTTGCTAAATTATTTTGCAAATTTTTCATACTTTTTCTTGCATAAAATAAATGACAATTTTATATCCTATTCTCCTCTATGATGCAAAAAAACTTTTTAATTTTCCAATTCATAAAGTTTTCTTTCACTAAAGAATAATGTTCGAATACTTTAAATGCAAATTTTTAGCAAAATGTGCGAATGCTTGACAATGGAGCAAATTTGCATTGATTTAGCTTTTAAATATGGAAATTGTTAAATAAAACTTTTGTTCTGAAAAAGAAACTTTTTACAGACAAAAAATAAATCTATGTAATTAGTTATTGACTAAACTTTTGATAGGGGATGTATATATTTTTGGGTAATAAATAATTTGCTAATTTTATGTTTTCCTGACGTTACAAGTGAAAAATTTGGATGTTTTTGTGCAACTTTGAGGAAATTTTTTAAAAAGCAAGTTTTGTGGAAAAGATTTACTCATACATCGAATCTCTATTACACATATTAAAGGGTCAAATTAATTTAAGCATAATTTATATGAAAAGACAATGTTTCTGGGATTAAATAGAAATACATTTAACCCTGTATTACATTTTACCCAAACAAAACAAATAAAACAAATTAAACATTTGCGCCATGTACTAAACGTAAGTTTATTAATTAGAAATTATTTCTATATTATTCGTAGTTTCTATAAATCTCTGAAGTTATTAAAATAAAAAATATATTTTAGACAACACAGATATTACTAATGTTCAAAGAATGAGATTATATCGCCAGCGAAAAGGTAAAAAAATACAAGCAGTCAATGAATGTATGTTAATTTTAATTACATGAAGTTCTTTGAAGGATTTTATTAAACTTACATGTAATCCATTTTCGAGACATCTGAAGATCCATCAGGCCAGACTAGTATACAAGCTGTTAAATGGTATTTTTCACTAAAAATATAAGGATAATTAAAAAAATATATATTACAAATATAATAGTTTAAAAAAATTGTTAAACTTTGACATTAAAATCTTTGTATGGTGTCCAAATTGCTTTAGCTTCAACGCTTTGGTTTAAAGTTTTATTTATTTTAATCTAAATTTTTTGTGTTCTTATATGTTGTTATAAATCGTTGAAAAGTCTATAAAATTATCTACAAATCTGTGTATAACAATTTGTATATGTTAGAACAAAATTATATGAAAAAAAAAAGGTTAAACTGTGACATTAAAATCTTTGTATGGTGTCCAAATTGCTTCAGCTTCAACGCTTTGGTTTAAAGTTTTATTTATTTTATTCTAATTTTTTTGTGTTCTTATATGTTGTTATATATCGTTGGAAAGTCTATAAAATTATCTACAAATCTGTGTATAACAATTTGTATATGTTAGAACAAAATTATATGAAAAAAAAAAAGGTTAAACTGTGACATTAAAATCTTTGTATGGTGTCCAAATTGCTTCAGCTTCAACGCTTTGGTTTAAAGTTTAATTTATTTTATTCTAATTTTTTTTGTGTTCTTATATGTTGTTATATATCGTTGGAAAGTCTATAAAATTATTATTAAATATAATAATAATTAAAAAATATATATTACAAATATAATAGTTTCAAAAGTTCTGAAAAACTTGAGTCTTGCAAAAACCTAATATAAATTTAATAGAAATCTTATAAAAATCTATTAAGAACTTCAAAAAAATCTTATAAGAATTTAGCTCAAATTAAATAAGAATCTAGTCAAAAAATGATATTTTTTGTAAATATATTACAAATATAATGGTTTTAATTCAAACTTAAGTACAAAAAAAGTTACACTTTTTAAATATAAATAGTCTTACAAAAGCCTGATAAAAATTTAATAGAAATCTTATAAAAATCTATTAAAAACTTCAAAAGAATATTATAAGAATTTAGCTCAAATTAAATAAGAATCTAGTCAAAAAATAATATTTTTTGTAAATATATTACAAATATAATAATTTCAATTCAAAACTAAGTTAAAAAAAACTTAAACTTTTTAAATATAAATGAATCTTGCAAAAGCAAAATAAAAATTCAATAGATCTCTTATAAAAATCCATTAAGAACTTCAGAAGAATGTTATAAGAATTTAGCTCAATTTAAATGAGAATCGAGACAAAAAATAATACTTTTTGTAAATATATTTCAAATGTAATAGTTTCAATTCAAAACTAAGTTAATAAAACTAATAAAAATTTAATAGAAATCTTATAAAAATCTATTAAGAACTTCAAAAGAATCTTATAAGAATTTATCTCAAATTAAATGAGAATCAAGACAAAAAATAATATTTTTTGTAAATATATTTCAAATGTATTAGTTTCAATTCAAAACTAAGTTAATAAAACTAATAAAAATTTAATAGAAATCTTATAAAAATCTATTAAGAACTTCAAAAGAATCTTATAAGAATTTATCTCAAATTAAATAAGAATCTAGTCCAGAAATAATATTTTTTGTAAATATATTACAAATATAATAGTGCTCAAATCAAAACTAAGTTAAAAAAAACTTTTTAAATATAAATGAGTCTTGCAAAAGTCTAACAAAAATCTAATAGAATTTTTTTAAAAATCTATTAAAAACTTCAAAAGAATCCTATAAGTATTTAGCGTTTGTAATGATATTTTTTGTAAATATATTACAAATATAATAGTTTCAATTCAAAACAAAGTTCAAAAAAACTTAAATTAACTTTTTAAATATAAATGAGTCTAGCAAGAACCTAATAAAATTTAATAGGAATCTTTTAGTTTTTATAAAAGCAAACGCACAAAAATACAACAAGAATAAAGAGTAATGTTGCAATATTTTTTTTATCATTTTTTCAATATTTTTTGTACTAGAATTTTGAAATAAAAATAAAATAAAACGCAGTGCGTTCTAGTATGGCCAAATAATAG